CTCGAGCCGAGAATCCCGCGATCGTGCGCTGGCACTTTCTTCGTTCTTGCTTCTCTTGACGTCAATTTCTGTCGATCCTCTCGCAATCTCTTACGATTCGGTTTTTATCGGCATCGGGATTGGTCCGCCGATGCGCACGATACGGAATTGTCGAACGACGTTAACGCTAGAACTACCGACAATCAAAGCATAAAATTTCCATCGGAGACATTGGAGACAAAAAAATCGAGAAACTTTACACAAGCTTCTATTCATTTATTTTACGAAAAATTATTTAAATCTTTAAAAATATTTTACAGCGTATGTTTTACGTCACTGTTTTACAGCGTATGTTTATAAAATGTCTAACGAAAATTATACTTTGATTATTTTGACCACTTTGGTAATTCCAATGTAACGTCGTATGTCATGTGTTTATGTTTTTCAAGGAATCGCAATAGTAACAAAAAAAAGGAACAAATATCGAAATATGAATAGATGAGTTTATTTTTTCCCGTGAGATTCTCTCTCCTTTTCTTTCTTTCTTTTTCTTTGTGATCAATTTCATTCGATGAAATTTGTGCACCTGAAAAGACAAAAATTGGTCATGGTGCGTAAAATGTTTACTTCGGCGCAGGCGCACGAGGTAACAACGCACGTAGGAGATTTGCGTGCGGTTGTTTTTTACGCTGGAGTTTCGGTACATTGAAAGAAAATGAAACTTCGCTTTATTTATCGTATTTATCCTCCATCCGTATTTATTCTTCATTCCAAACGTGACTCGGTCACGTTTACTAATTTTTAATTAATTAAAATTAACTTTTAACTAGTCGCGATAGAAAGAAAAAGTCGTATTCGACGCGATACTGTTATAAACTTCTGTTAAAAATTAATATCCACGATTGGGAATTACCTTTCCACGGATTGAAGACGATCGAATGGTTGCAATTTCCCGTGTTCTCACAGAAACGATAAATTAACAGAAATTCCCGAAGGAAATTCATGTACGCGCGAGACAGACTTGCAGTGTTCGAAAAATGAATTTAAAAAGACAAAGTATATGTTGCGCGTGCAAATGCGACAAAACATGTGTTGATAATGGCGCTCCCTGTAGTTTACTGCGAATTACAAAGTGCGTCACGTTGATCGAAAAATTATGAACGACACAAATTTCGATACGTGCGGCATCGTAAATACAAAATACAGAGCGAGTGATATCATTTGATTGTATTAGTATCGATGATTATGTACGTATTGTTATCGTGTACACGCGACGCTGTATACACACGTCTACGTGGTGTTTCAATTCTACGTGGCAATATTCGTCAGTAATGATTATCTCCTACCTCTGCTCGCACCGCTATGTAGGCATAAGGTATGTCTATTCATTTAATTTTTCAAGAAAAATAATGTATCGGATCATAAGAATAATGTATCAGCATCCTACAAACAAGTTCTACAAATTAAATTCTAAACACATTTTGTTTTCTTGTAAATTTTATTATATTCAAATTTATCAAATTTTATCATATTGATAAGTTGGTAATTGAAATATTTTACAAACACGTTTTACACATTAAATTTTAAACACATTTTGTTTTCTTGCAAATTTTTTTGTATTCAAATTTATCAAAATTGAAATATTTTACAAACACAATTTGTTTGCAATTGTGCTCTTGCAAATTTTATCATGTTTTTGATCAGGTAAATAAAAGTATTTTACAAATACGTTTTACAAATCAAACTTTGAACATATTTTTTTTTCAATTGCATTCTTGCAAATTTTGCTGGTCAGTTAGTAAATAAAAATATGTTATATAAAACAGTTTGCACAAAACTGGATATATTTAAGCAAATTTTTAATTTATATATAATTGAAGGTGCATGCAATCGACACTGTCGTTTATTCTTTAGACATCTTTTTTTTCGTGAAATTATTATTCCCAACATCTTTTCAGAATGAAGACTGTTTTCATGTGTGTTTCACTATAAGCACACTTTAATCAGGATTATTGACAAGTAATGCAACGAAAGAGGAAAAAACTGGGAACAATGAGAGCTGTAATACTTGTTGGTGGCTATGGAACCAGATTAAGACCTCTTACATTGAGTCGGCCGAAACCATTGGTTGAATTTGCCAATAAACCAATGCTTCTGCATCAGATAGAGGCTCTGGTATGTTGCAGTGTGCATGTGATGTTTTTGCCTTCTAAAAATTTTAATGTAAAATTACATTTAGGTAGCAACAAATGTGACCGAAGTAATACTAGCGGTATCTTACCGCGCTGAGGAAATGGAAAGAGACTTGAGTGAAGAAGTTAAGAGATTAGGAGTACGTTTGATCTTTTCGCATGAGCCTGAACCACTTGGCACTGCAGGACCACTCGCATTGGTCCATGATCTGTTGTGTTCAGGGGACGAACCGTTTTTTGTTTTGAACTCAGACATTATTTGCGATTTTCCCTTTATGCAACTTTTGGAATTTCATAAGAACCATGGCAGAGAAGGCACTATAATTGTAACTAAAGTGGAAGAACCGTCAAAGTATGGTGTGGTAGTGTACGGAGATGATGGGAAAATAGAGAACTTTGTAGAAAAGCCACAGGAATTCATTTCTAACAAAATAAATGCAGGTATTATATTTTTAATATTGAATTCAAATGTATTAATTTCTTAGCGTTTAATGGTGTTGTTGTGATCCTAGGGATGTACATTTTTAATCCAAGTATCTTAAAAAGAATAGAATTGAAACCTACGAGTATAGAGAAAGAAATTTTCCCACATATGGCTCGGGATGAAGAACTATACGCAATGGAACTGACAGGATTTTGGATGGATGTTGGACAACCAAAAGATTTTCTCAAAGGGATGAGTATGTACCTGACATCTTTGAGACAAAAGTCTCCAGAGAAGTTGTATTCTGGCCCAGGAGTAGTAGGAAATGTTTTAATAGATGAAACGGCAAAAATTGGAAAGGATTGTAGGATAGGGCCTAATGTTACAATTGGTCCTGGAGTTGTTTTATCTGATGGTTGTTGTATTAAAAGAAGCACTATTCTTAAAGCAGCTGTAATAAAAGAGCATGCATGGTTGGATGGGTAAATGTTAAAACTATTTCTAACGTATGTAATGTATTTATAATTTGCGTCATTGTAATGCAACGTGATGTGTTACAACAGGTGCATCGTAGGCTGGAGAAGTGTTGTCGGACGTTGGGTAAGAATGGAAGGTACTACAGTACTTGGTGAAGATGTAATTGTTAAGGATGAATTATATATTAATGGAGGTCAAGTTTTACCTCACAAGAACATTTCTAGTTCTGTGCCGGAACCGCAAATAATCATGTGACCAAGAAAAATACTTTAAAAGTATAACCAGCATAACGAGCGTAATGAGCGACCAAACGTTTTATAAATAAAATTTTTTACTAGCTTTCTTAACTATACATACAAACTGATGTTCAATGTAGATTCGTTTGCATCATTTTTTTTTTATATTTACAATTCAAATAAGTTTTACTGGTAGTCCTCGTACTACTATTGCAGCCGCGGTCATATACTGAGAACAGATATCTTTAGATTTTGCTACTGCTCTCAACATCTCAGGTTCTATGGGCACGTTTTGCGAGCATTGACGAGTTTTTAAAAATTCTAATTATCAAAAATTTAAAAAAAAAACAAATTATAAAATAATAAACATAATCTAAAAAGATATTTTATAATTTTTTATACTAACTTAGTGTACCCGCACACCACGTATTAATATCAATGTCGGTCCATGGTCTACTTAATGGCGATGGAATCCAATTACTAATGAAATTCGTTGTCATTTTATCAGTATCGGCATCCGTAACTTCCCATAACATACCAAGCACGCAAGGACTACATAAAATACTGATTAATATATGAATAATTAAAGTTTCAAAAAAAAAAGTTATTTTCACCTGCTAGCTATTAAATACTGATTTGGAACACCATACGGTGGGTAACGTCCTCCCGTTGTAAGTAATTTTACACTACTACAACCGAATAATAAAACAATCGATCTTACTCTAAGTCTTTCAATCTGTTCTCCTCGCAAGTATTGTATTCCACTGCCATGGCCATTATACCTATAAAATATAATAGATTATAAAAAGTTATAGAAATGAGATATTTAAAATAAACGTACATTAAAATATCACGGTTTACAAGTGCATCCTCAAAGATTCCTTCTTGTGGCTCCACATTGTACCAACTTTTCCAATTTGGTAACCAATGTTCAATAAACAATCTCATACGTTTTTCCATCTTAACCAAGTTACCAGAAGGATTAACTATACAGGTACCCATATTATCTTTCGCGTAAATTATTTTACAGCCATTCTCTATCGTGTTTTCATGTTCTTTGAATAAAGCATATGCAATATGCAGCGATGGAAAACGGGTCACCGGATGACATTTCAAAATTTCCATAGATTCAAAAGGTATATAATCCATATGCTGTAAAACATTAGAAAATGTATATAAAATTATAGACTTTAATTTTAAATCTACACTTACTTCATCAACAATTAAAATTAATGTTTTCCTAGTTGCATCTCTTAATTCTTCTGTACAAGATAATTTCCCAAATATGGACAATATTATATTATCTGCCAGCTTGTCATAATCGGGAATTATATATTTTATTGCACGTGCTATTTCTTCTCTATTAAGAAAACATGCTGTTAACGCTACTTTCCTTAACAACCATTTAGATCTTTTTGTTATATTTTTTCTATAATGCATAGTACAATTAAACACAACTGTTAGAATAATGTTTAATTATTAATTTAAGCTTTACTTACGAACTTTTGTCATCAGATATTAGTTTATCAATCATTTCTACGATATCTTCAACAATATCGTGTTTATTTATTGGATCTGCTATAAACAAGATTCTCCATTCACGTAACCATGAATATTCTAATGCACGTACAGCAGTCTATACATACATATGCATATACGTAAATTACTAAATTTATCAAAAATTATTAAATTTATTAAAATTATGTTTGTCATTTAAATACCTTCATATTTGTATTTTGCTTCTCTCTCATTTTCCAATACAACTCATTGTTTGCATAAGTAGCTTCTAAATCTGACCTATTATTAGAAAGTAATTTCTGAATTTCATAACAAATATTATAAGAGGAGTCCAACTTGGGTTCTGGTAATGTTATACAGAAAGGTTCTGCTTCTTTGGTCTTTGTCGGCAATATGGTAATATGTATTTCACACATTGCATCTGATTTAGTTCTATTATATTTAAATATATCTGGAGACCTATATTGTCCAGTGATCTGGACCATGTACCATTCTATAGAAATGAAAACATTTACTTTGATAATTTCAATATATCCAGCAACATCAAAATATTTTTGTTATCTTCTTACCTTCAGGCAGATCAAAAAGTTTCAGTTTTAAACTTTCAACTCCATTTGAATTATTTGAATTAAATCCAATATAAGAAGATTTGAGCCCAGAAGACTGTTGTGTGTTTAAAATTGATTCCCGCATCTCTGTTTTCACATTCCTATGCAATATCTGTTGACGAAGTATCACTGCATGTGACTCAATTAAATGAAATATAGCTTCAAGTTCTTTACCAATCTGTAAACAATATTTACAATTTCACTAAGAAATTATTTATTAGACAATTGGTTAATTACTCAATTTTCATATTATTGAATGATTTTGTGATAATATTGAACCAATGCAATTACTTTTAAGTAACAAAGTGCTAGCATTTTGTTAAGATTTGCATATTCGACGCTTCCAATATTGGACTGTATTTGTGCAAACAACATCTCGATGTTCCTTTTCGTACTCTTTGCAAAATTACTCTTTGCCGTGTCTGATGTTTCTCCAGACTTGTCATCGTACAAATCACATTCGCGTAAAATTTGGAAAATTTCGTCCATGATAATCCATACACTTTTAACATGATAATTTCTTTATCCACAGACTTTATGGCATTAGTTGTACGTGAGTCCAACTGTTCTCCCAAACGATTCAAATTCGAATACAGGCAACACTATAATCAAGAATACCAATCTAAGCAAGCATACGTGTCGCGTACATATATTAGGTTAGAGGAAAGCCACTTTGATAATAAAATAGCAATTACATATAATCTTTGCGTAGTTTTTTTTCTATAAATAAATTTACATTCTCGACATCCATTTTATTTCTATTTATTTCTAAATAAAATATTTCGAGTTCTAAAGGAATTCGAAACAAGCATAGAAACATACAAGCAAGATGTACAAATAAGCTTCAGATATTGAACGTTTGAAATTAATTCGAATAAAGACATAATTCATACAATGTATATAAATTTTATTTATAAATAACGTATAAATATACGTAAAACTTGTCACATTGTTATTATTCTCCTATCGTTTCTTTTATTGCATTTCGTATAAAATTAATGTGTAATGTTAAAATACACGAATTTTGTTACACTTTCATCACATTAATCTTCATAAATTTATGATAATATATTATAATTTTGTAAATTTATAATTTACATAATTTTATAGCTAGATTCAGATAACAGTTAAAAGTCTGTATATTTTTAAAATATCTGTGTGAATGTTTCCCACAACTTATCTTTTTCTTTTTTATTATAAAGACTTGTTGATGCATACAAAATACTTTTGTATTAACCATTATAAAATTTATGCAAGAATGTCGACAATTTCTATAGCTAAGTTTTATCATTAAATCACAGAAGGTTAAAAAATACATTTTTGTCATAGTTTAAAGATCCTTAACAAGAACAGTACCGTCTTTAAAAAGTTGCAAAAATAATATTGGATTTCGTTATTCTATATCAATACACATGGTCCTTCTAATGACAATCCTCGTACATGATCTAAATTTTCCCCAGCGTAAGATAATAAAGGAGATACTTCTACGTCGTTTGCCACAAACGTAGCTCCAGCGTTCAACAGCCATTTCTTATGAAGTTTAAGTACATCGTTTCGCGCAGTGCTTGGACAATCTTGGCCAACGGAATCAGCATTTTTCAGGGGACTGAAATCTTCCTCGCGAACTCCCTCCCAAACCGTTAATTGTTTTGCGAATTTAAATACATCAAACACGAATTTCTCGATTTTAATACCGTTCGGTGATTTCGGTTCATTTCGATTTCCTTCTTCGTCAACATAAGGGATTTTCTTTTTAGCAGCGTGGAGTTCCATTTCTTTCTCGTGATTTGTTGCAATGTTATGGAGGAAGTCTACTGTAAAATAGTGATTACATATATTCGCTGCGTTGTACATTAATTGTCCGTCGTTAGAACGCAATTTAGCAGTCTCTTGTGAAATCTCACTGTATTCTACAACTTTGTAGATATCATCGACCTGAATAAGAAAAAAAAATAATGAAATAAAAGTGACGTCATAAATGATGACAGTACTTTGTAAACGTACTTTACACACAACTCCTACTGGTTCGTTTGGAGAAGACTTTTCTATCACTTTAACTCCACAATCAGTGCATAAAGATAAGCAGTATCCTATAAAAATAGGATCTGCCACTTTTATCAAAATATTATCAACTGAATGAACGTGGACACTACGAATTCCACGCTGTTTCATATCGTCCAATATTCCCTGCGTCTTTAGAGCTCGATATAATCCTCCATTTCCATCCGGCGCCTTTGAAATTTTATATTTTTTATCCAAAATGATTTTTCCATCCAGTGTAAAACATGGTAGCACACCTTGTTTAAAGGCTTGAACGTTCTTTTCTTTTAAATCAAAATAGTTATGCTTTTGTAGGAAAGATACAGTTGTATCATGAGTAGCTTCACTGGTTAATATGTACCTTAAAAAAAAAGAAGATAATTATTTTTACTTGAAGTACAAATTTTTATACTCTTGACAGAAGTTATTTGAAACATACGTACCATGTAATTTCCCCATCTTTTCCACATTCCTTCCTTGCCATGTTTTGCAAACAAAGTATTCTTTCTGCCTGTAGTTGGAAAAGTGTTTTTCCAGAAGGTAGACCAACATTGTACATACCCTTGGGATAAGATACACCAAGTCTAGTACCCTGACCACCAGCCATTAACAGTACAGCTACTTTTCCATCTGTTATCTCTTGCAATCCTAGTTTTTCGTACATTCTCAACTGTTCTTTGTCAGTAGTTCTGACTGATGCAATACTTTCCTTCGGGATAGGTGTCAACTTATCGTCCAATATACTCTGCATGCTGGTCAACGCATGTACTGCTTTGTAGAAACATGATGTCACATCTGTCAGGTCTAATTCAGATATATCTTGACAAAGATCATCTCTTTCTCTGTCCGACAGTTGATCCCAGAATTTCAACAGATGTTCCTGATTGTATTCAATCAACTTCCTTCTGACAGATTCCATGTTTACAGAATGTCACTGCTTCGTCTGACAGCCGGTTGTACACTAAGAGCAACTGATATCAAGCACGTTGTTACAAAATACTCTTATCGATAATACCGGACAGATTGAAAGATAGCTGGTTGCGCTGAGTCTTACCGAGCCTGAGCAAACAGATGGAAGTAAAGAAGAATGAAGTCGTGCAACAGGTATTTGATCGCGGCCTGTAACCTATCGCGACTCATATGTTAAGGTGGGATACGCCTTCACTTTCACGATTCCACGTAGCACGTTCAGCTCGATTTCTCTTATCGGCCCCTCTTGCCCTTCCAACTTCTCCGACTGTTCTTCTCTCTTTTTCCAACATATTTCGTTTCCACGAGCAAATACTGGCCGCGAGTAATCATATTCTGTTTTTCTTTTTTCTTTCTTCCGGTTTTTTCACTTAATCAAGACTCGATTGAACGTCGAGACCGTAACCTTTCCGTACACGTACGGCACGTTTGGTACCGATTCTTATGTTGTTCAGCGTGTTGTCGGTCACGCGTGATTAACCCTTTCGTAGGTACGGCTGAAATATTTTCAATACAAACGGAAATATTGGTCAAACGAATGTTCATTTCGATGAGATAAATTTTTTATTTCCGTAGTAGATTCTACGACTTTAAACTTCACTTAAATAGGAGTAGCGAGTGAGTGGACATACTTTCTTAACACTGGAACCGTGTATTAGATATTCATAATCTGCAATGCTAAGTATATTAAATTTTAATCGAATATATTAAAAATTGTAATTTTTACAAATTTTACACTTTAGTCGTTATATATATGGCTTAATGTTGAATTAATACGAGTAAACTTAGTCTATTGTTTACAACACCTGCCTGAGTAAATAACGGAGAGAAATGAGAACATCGTTTTAGATTGAAAAACAATTTTCACCAAATTTACGAAAGGATTAAGATAACTGAAAATACGTAGGCTAAAACATGCAGAAAGAAGAAGAATGAAAAGAAAAGACTTCTGTTTCGATTGCGTATGATGATTGGAATGCCAGTTCTGCATTTACAGAAATTTTGAATGTGCAAGGATATATACATAGAACGCATAAAATTCATAAAAATATGCGAGTAAATGATATTTAGAGAGTCGAGTATAAATTTCCATGTTTATATAAATTTAAGTTTACGCATGATACTGATATGTAAACTTAATAAAGTGATATGACGATCACTCAATAGAATCATTTTTGGAAATCATTTTTGTTTAATATATTGTATGTAATATAGTAATATATAAATTATAATAAATTATAATAATTAATTATATATACATATATACACATACGCATAACATTGATTAATAATAAAAAATAACATCTAAATTTTTTATATCTTAATTATTAATTTACTTATTTTACACAAAAATTTTTTTTTTTTTGTAATTTAAAAATGGTTTCTTGTCAGTGGTGACATATGAATTGAAAGATAACGAATGAAAAAAAATCTAACAGAAATTTATCGCGATGCGTGAATTTTTTGTTACTTGGTTGATAAGTCGATTACTAACACGCGCATGCGCACGCAGGAACTAAAAGTACTTAAATTGTTTAAAAGTACATTGATTTATACAAAACACACTAATACAATAGTGTAATATATGCAAAAGGATTTTTAAAATTTAATAATAGGATACACGTATTTTTATATCTTATTTACAACAATTAGTAATTCAAGAGTAAACAATTCAGGGGCGCGAAGAAGAAATATCATTTTAGCCACTTCTTGATTACTGTAGTAAATATTCAAAAGGTTGATATAGACATCAAATTTGATATGTTAAAATTTTGAAAGCAAGGCTAGGGAGAAACAGATTTTCAAAACGGTTAAATAAAAATATTTCTCATCTTCTCGAGAGCGATACAGTAATTTAGTAAACAATATACTTCTTTGAAATTATTAATATTTTTTTTATAAAAAAATAATATTTTAAACATATATTTTAGTGCTAACTCACACAAACACTATATAATAATAATAATGATAGTGTTGCAAGTTCTGAAATTTTATACTACAGCAGAGATTTTTTATCGAAATTTTTTTTAAGATCTTTATGTTATTTGTAAGTAACTGAAAATTTTTGAAGTAAAAAATTTTTTATTGACACATTATTGACTCAGTTTATTAGCTTCAAATGGAACGCATTTTTGGACAGGTACGTGTTATCTTTCAGGCAATCTTTTATTCGGGACTTATAAGAAACATTATAATCGATCTTAAGAAAACATTACGATATTTGAAAGATCTGTTTCGTTTCGAAACTCTTATTTTCGATGCCCTATTTTCCTATATTTACATTCGAGTGTAAACAGCATTTGATCATGATTTAAGTATTAATTACTATTTCCAAATGGTATTTGCTTTAAGTATTAAATGTAATGATATTTTCAAATTTGTTTCATGTATTACATTAAATAGTACTATTTCTGAAAATATTTAATGTGAAATAATATTTGTTTTAAGTATTAGATTAAATAATATTTCTAAACAGTGTTTGATTTAAGTATATTACAGAATATTTTTCTAAATAGTATTTGCTTGAACAATGCCGAGTACGTTTGAAATAAAATATTATTTGAACATTTATTTCATTTGACAGTGATATGCACAAGTATGTTGCAATTGTTTATTTCAAACATACGAGTGGGAATTGTTAATTGAAAAAGTTGTTTAAGGTATATTAGAAACTATTATTTAAAATGATATTTCATGCTTCAAAGCTTGCATTGATTGATTTATGTATACTTCAAATATCATTTTAGAAGGAAATTAACTGAAAACAATATGAAGAAAATCTAAATATTAACTAGTAATATTAAGCATTATTCCTGAGAAAAAGAGTACCCTAGCATATTCAATTATTTATTCAATTATAATCTGCGATGTGGGAAGATAAACGTGACGTTAAAACGCAACTATGTACTTCGTGGATAGAGAATTTTATTCATGTACAAAATAAACAATTACGCAAAAATAATATTCGAATAACTGTTTCAACTTCATCGTAAAAAATACACATATTCGTAGAATCATGTGAATTTCGAACAATATTTCAATTGATAGACAAACAAATGATCATTTCAAACAAACGAATGAAAACAAACTACGCAAAAAAATAATCTTTAGAAATATATTTATATTTTATTTTTGAAACGCTATTTTATTCAATAGCGTGCTTGTAGAAATATTTCGATATTTTATTGTACTGTACCGATTCAACTTTCTTCCCCAACCTAAAATCTGTGAAATTTCAAGCATCTAGTCTGCCGACGAAGCGACTCGAATTGCCACGTTGCTGAGGAACTTCGCGATCGCCTTCGAGACCGAGGTGCAGACGTATTATCAGATACAGTCGTCCACCGGCCACGACGCGTGAAATTTTCAAACGTATCGCCGGACGCTAGTAATAGGCAGCAACATACGGTGGCGCTTCAAATTCTCTGTCAGTGCTCGATGCATGCCGAACTGATCTCGTTATTTCACTTAAGTTACATGCGTGTTTGCTTGTGACTTACGAAGTGAGGGACATCATGCTGTACCTGCCTAAATAACGTTTTCGGTAATGCTGCCACGCCACAGCTGTAACACAAAATAAATTATGTCCAGTGATGTGATATGTCCGTGCGTTCATGATAGAGTATTCGCCCCTTGTAAATGTATTTCGGTGAGTTACATTTAACGCCTGCCTCGAGAGTTACACTCTCGTCCCGCTGCCGCTAGCTCGAGGGACTTTTTTTCTTTCTTTCTTCTTTTCTTCCTTTCTTTCTTCCTTCCTTCCTTCTTTCCTTCCTTCCTTCCTTCCTTCTTTGCTTCCTTCTTTCCTTCTTTCCTTCTTTCCTTCCTTC